AAAGTATTATTAAGACTTTGAATTGTCGTTAAAACATTGGAAGTTTCCCTTTGAATATTTCTTAAATTTTATAAATACCTTTGAATATTTCGAAAGCTCCATCAAAACGATAACAATATAATAAAAAATTATTCAATTCAATTTATAATATGAATTAACCAATAAAATAAGAACTAAATATTCATATCATAACATTATATTTGCAATGATTTATATTTTTGAAGATTTATATGGGGATGAGTTAACAGAAACCAAGCAAATTATATATGTATTACATATATAATTTGCTTGGTTTCTGTTGACTCACCCCCATATGTTCAAAGTATATGTTTTATCATTATATTCTCATTTTATAAATCTTAGTGTTAAATTTGATTGGCTGATTATAATACACGTGATTCGTCACCTTCTAAAAATATCACTTCGATTTCCGGAGTATCCGATTTCCGAATAGATCGGACTCACGCGACCCGTCACTTTTTTTTCGCCGTGGCTAGAATACTACTCCATAACGATAACACACATTTTTCATGCACGTGATAATTATTCCAAAAAATTTCACGAAAAGTATCACCTACAAATCACGAACATTGGCATTTTCGCGCAAAGAAATATTCAACATGGCAATAACCGCAGCAGAAGTTTTCAAAAACCGACTAACACAAAAAGTGATAATAATCATACTCACTCTCATAATTACTTGGGGAATGCCCACCTGGCAATTCCTCACACTGCTATTAATTTTTGCGATATTTTATACACTCCATCCATCGCAAGTGGAGACTCAACAAGGAGAACCTATTGCCGCTGCTATTACCCAAAGTCAAGCACAATCTCGATATCAACCACGATCTGAACTGCGACCACAATTACAACTTCAACCAGCATCCACTCATACCTATATCTCTTTGGCAGAAACACGACGACAAGGTGTTTCGCTTCTACCTTACCTAAAAAACCCCGAAGCACCAATAAACAATTTCATACAAGGTATACAACAAGCAGAAAAAAAGAAACCAAGACACAGTGGTTTTTCTATATTCGCATATTTTGCTGTGGTTGGAAAATATGAAGAAGTGCGTCCATGGATGCTGCTGCCAGTTGGAGATGATGCATTTTGGCGTCATGAATGCGAGTGTGCCTCTTACAGCGCCGTTTGTGATGGTGTAGGAGGATGGCGGGTGAAGGGAGTGGAAGCAAGTGAATTTTCGTGGGGATTATGTGATGCTTTTGAGAAAGTAGCTAAAAAAGACGGAACTGGAATACCTTTGTCCGCGAAGACAGTACTATCACGTGGATATTATGATTACTTGAATAGTGATAAACTGGCACAAGGAAGTTCTACCGCTTGCCTAATATCAATCAACAAAGCAAATGGAAGAGCGACAACAGCATTAATAGGCGACAGTCAGTATGCCATTATACGCGGTGGCACTATCTTATATAAGTCGGATCCTCAAGTTATTGCTTTTAACACTCCTGGTCAGCTCTCATCGGAATTATATCTAGAAAGATGTGCAACAATCACCACTAAGCCGAAAGAAGCAGTAGCTCACCACCATCAACTAGCTCATCAAGACATTATTATTATGGGGAGTGATGGATTGTGGGATAACCTCTATGACTATACCATCCTCTCAATCATTGGCGACGAAATTGGATGCGATGGATTTGGACGATTGAAAAAAAATGAAATGGAAGCAAAGATTCAATCAATTAGTGAACGACTAAGAAACGCAGCATATGAAATTAGCAATAACCCAACAGCATGTTCACCTTTCTCAGATGAATCAACTCGCGCTGGACAGCCTCGATGTGGAGGCAAATATGATGACATCACTGTTGAAGTAATAACGCTCTTTGACAATTCTTTCAACATCTAAGTTCTTTGGAATGTATGTTCCAACGTTTGTTTATTGAAACATGCGGTAGTTTTACGTAGAAGGCTGTGTTTTAACGGAAAAATGACATTTTTTACATATGACAATTAATGAAACGTGTTTTAATAAAAAATGCGATAGAATTATGACGGATAATTAGAGATATGGATATGACCTTTCTCGACGTGAGGGATGGTTGAGACATTCAGTTGCGACGGTGATGATATCAGTTTTTTTTTTTGAATGGATGACACATTAATGCATTATCCCATCAAATTTATGCAAGACTATTCGGAATTTACGAAAATGGATCATTTTACAAAATTCAGATCTTAATAATGGCCAAGATCTTCTAATGATGTAATTCGACAATCTCAATGAAACTATTTATTACGGATGCTATAGCAGTCAATAAACAGAATCATTCAATATTAAGATGAAATCAGACTATATATCCATCAAACATTTGACACATTCACCACTATTCAATATTTAACAATAATTTTCACACTACTGACAACTTCACGCGGAATAAGCAGCAACTTCAAAAACCTCCCTTTCTTCACTTCTTGATTTCCGATTTTGGCATCAAAAATGTTCTATCGCTGGCTACAAGCTTCAATGGACTAAATGGGTTTCTCCCTACGTCGAATTCTAAATCAGAAACAATCTGCTGCACTTGTACAGCGTGTTGGGTGTCTTTTTTTTTGGCAAAATATATAATGGGAAACAACTAATTATCCGAGGCTCTAATCAAGAGATAGTGAAATTCATAGTTGCCGTAGTAAAGGTTATTTCATTTTTTTACTGAATTATTAGATTGATGGATGCGTGCATTCCATGATCATATTAATAATTCTCATCATACTTTGCAAAATCGATGAGAATGATTATCTAAATTGCTGATTCTTTTTTTCTTAGAACCTAATTCCACATAAATGCTATTTCGTGATCGCAAGTATTGTAATACGACAGTGTGTTATCGAGGTTAGGTGGACACCACTAAATGTCAATACAGCATCTGTTGGTCCTTTTAACTTCGATTTTTATTATTTAAAGTTTCTGCTCATAATTAATAATTCAATTGAGCAATACTTTTAACTCGGATGTCTAATGATAGCACCACATCTCTAGCGTCTGGTAAAAATTCAGATCCCTTTAAAGAAACAAATTTTGGAGAATCTTCAATTCCACTTGGAATATGGAACAGAAGATATAGCGAAATCTACATCACCGACTACGAATAAAGCACTCAAGAAATATGTGCCAGGTTTTGTCGATAATAGACCAGTAACCAATCAGCATCCAATAAGAATGCAGAAATTTTTGATCAGACCGGCAAAACAAATCCGATACAAGAAAAAAATACGAGAAACAGGTGCCTAAATATAGCTTGGAGTACTAATTAAAATCGTTGGGGAGACAATTTTATATATAACTGTATCTCAGCTTTAACCCTAACCCTAATTCTAAAACCAACCTTTTAATGTTAATTAATATTACAGTAGAATTTTCCGAGACCAACAAAACCTGGCACAGATTTCTTGAGTGCACGAATGGTCCAGTTAATTGAAATTCCTGAATCTAATTTATCATCAGATTCGATTAATTATATTTAAGAAATAATTGTTAGGTTTGTTGGATTATGTTTTTGCTCTTTATTCATTGATTATCGTATGGCACCAGTTAAAAAGACCCGGGATATTTTACATTTCACGGGCAAGGTTAATTAATAAAAAAAAGTGAGAAGACCATTGTATACTCCACTGTAAAAACTTGGTTACCCATTTTCTTTAGTAAGGATTTTGAAGAAACTGCACTGTGAATCGTGAATTATTATTCATTTGGTATTACTAAAAAATCGGACTACTATATACAGAACTATACATAGGGGATTCTTTTAAATAGTAAAGTGCAACAAACAATTTCTAAGGTTTTAAAGTTTGGAGCGGGCGGCATTAGTAGTGAAATTAGTTGTCTAATACCAACAATAATTATCAAGTCTGCGGGTTATTATAGGAATGGGTGTTGAGAAGAATAACAACTAATCAACATACTCACATATCCATCAATCACCATAATCTATTACAGACAAACCTCCCTAAATGCACCCCCCTTGGGACCATAGTAAAGCGTGCATTTAGAGAGGGTGTGCATTTATAGAGGGCAAAATATATAGAGCTCTTATGAGCCGGGACCAGCCATGCTGTGCATTTAGAGAGGGTGTGCACTTATAGAGGGTGCATTTAGGGAGGTTTGTCTGTAATCTTTTATCCTTTTTAATATTTTAATATGCTTGTATAAAAAGTAGATAGAGGGCGACTTTCCTGTTAACAATCATTCTTTACTAATTAAAAACGATTTTTTTGTAAACTGTTTTATTATAAACTGATAAAATTTCTGTTGGCTAAACATTCGAAAATCATGCGACCCAAAATAACCACTAAAGTGAATTCTCATTCATAACGATAAGATATATAAATCTGTCATTAAAATAATTCATCCGCATTGGTCTAGTGGTTAGGATCTCCCGCTCTCACCGGGAAGGCCGGGGTTCAATTCCCCGATGCGGAATTTTAAACTGAAAAAACTAAGGATTTATTACACCCTAATTTTTTTATCTTTGACTTTTTAGTTTCATTAATATATTATACTCAATAGATGCACAAATGTCAGCAAAACAAATTCTTAAAAGACCAGAATTTATTGTATATTATTAAGAGAAGAAATTAAATATAGAGTCGAGATTCCCAGTTACAGTTGATATTTATCTGCTACAATAAAGCTTTAAAAGATGATAGTTTATAAAGCTTTGAAAGATGTGTTGCTTTTTCAAAGAAACTAATAAAACATGACACGAAACTGTAATCTTGGTTTTAAATCTCTTTTGAGAATTTGAACAGAGATCAACAGAGAATAAATAATTTAGGCATCATCGTGAACTGAAATTGCTCGTGTTATTTCTTGCCAGATTTTTTTATTCCGCCACCAACTATTATTATTATGAATTATGTTAGTTAAGAATAGTAGTCGGTTTTTTTTTATGATACAGATAATTAAAACATACCAAGTGGGCCACCTTTAGCTGCTTTTGCTTGAAGTTCTTTCAATTTTTTTTGTTCCTCTTGTTGCTTCTTTTTGAACTCCATATCACTCTATGTTGATATTATCAATGTCAAAATAATAGAATACAGTTTTTAAGAGAAAAACCGAAAATATTCTGTTAATCTAATCTTAACAAAAGCTTACCTCGTCTACCACTGCATCTTTTTTCTTCGTTTGCTTTAACGGCTTGAGTTTACCGCCTATTTGATAGAAGCTTAAATCGTTTAAAACATTCGAGAGTAATATACATAGAAATTATAAGAGGCTTAATAAAACGTATAATTTACCTTGACGTCCAGACATTGTTATTTGTAAATGCGAGTATAGAAATTAATCAATGTATAGACTCGACAGTAAAAAAGCATGCTTAACAATCTATTCATTGGTTAATAACTCGTGATATCTGCAAGATTTCATCCAATCTACCTTTAATCCCAAAGAAATTTTAGATGAATGTTCCTTCTGTTCGGGTCTGGAACCGAAACTCGAAAATCTAAGAACCGAACTGAAAAGTAGATGTATGTAATAAATATTTGATAGTTTGTATAGTCTAAATTTCATAATAAACTGTTTATCTGGTTTTGCCTACAATAGCAATATTTCAAAGGAGGAAAAGATAAACAAAGAAATTAAAACTCCATATTTTATTAGATTCCTAACATTTCAGGTGCTATATTTTGACACCAGCCATCAAAATTACATGAAAATATCACCATTCGATTACTGGATATCAAGTAGGGCAAAAATGGGAGTTCTGGGATCAGAAATCGAATGATGCTCAGAATATAATCAAATATAAGCCCGAATCAATTCTAGCAATACGAATCCATATATAGAATTCCAATCCCAATCCCTATTTGGTCCAATTCCTGCTATCCGAAATTTCTGGTATCAAACTTAGCATGAAATTAACCCAAGAATTACACCATCTTTTATAGCCCTTCTAGCCCGATTTTAATCCTAATTAATATAACAAAAAATTTATGCAATATTGCTTGCCCCTAAGACGACCCTAGAGCACCGAGGACCAAAGTGTCCGAGTGTGCTCTAGGTGAGTCTCATCAAGCTCATTAAGCATACCACATTTTTATGTTATTCTAGAATTAATTCTAAAGCTGATTCTTTATCGATTTCATAGGATCACTAAGTCTAACCTCTGGGTCAGTGTTCCTATGAACCGAACCGAACCGGACTTTTGCCTGGGTTCGAGTCTGGTTCGAAATTCGAATCGAACTCGAACCAGACTTTGGTTTGGGTTCAAGAAAAGTTCGAAGTTCGAATTGGACTCGAACTGAACCGTTATACGAGTTCGAGTCTGGTTCGAGTTCGATTAGAGATTGGTATATAGTATTATACAGTGACTCACTAAAGAAACGGAACGCGGAAAAAAAAATGGCGAGATTCGAATATCTCGCCATTGAAGAATTA